GAGATTGTGGGTTTGAGAACAGGGTCAGTGTGTGGACAAGAGAACAGTACTGAAGATGGGAATGGGGTAGTTGCTGATCAGCAAGGCCTCAATATTCGTCTTGATTCTGAAATTACTGATTCGGAATTGGGGCATTCTTGTAGTTCTGAAGGAGATGAGAAGGAGATTGTGGGTTCGGATGAGATTGTGAAAGAAGAGGTTGTGAAATCAGTGTTCTTGAATGAAAAAATGGTGGGTTCGGATGAGATTGTGGGTTCAGCAAAGACTGAAACTGGGAAAGGGGTAGTTACTGATCAGCAAGATCTCAATAATCTTGTTCCTGAAATTGCTGAGAAAGAACAGATTGGTTCTGGTTCAGGGTCGAGTTTATGTCGTAGTGAAGGAGTTACAGATCAATATTTGAAGTTTGTAATGAGAGCAGATGACGTGACATTAGGAGAGGCTGATGACTCCAATCAAGAATGGAGGGATTTCAAAGAGGCTATCATGAGAGCAGATCTGCTGGACCTAGAGTCTTTTGGCCTAAAGATTGAACGTCGGGTGCGAGCTTCGGTTGAGGACGTGGTGAAAAGATATCCCCAGATGAATTCAATGACAATGTCTCTCTCTATAGGTGACTGGGAGAAAATTCTGGAGAGGAGAGATGGTTCTGGATTGGAAGCTGATCGAGTAGCTATGCTGAGAGAATCTGGAGAGCAAAGAAAGATGCAGGTATTAAAGGCCTATTCTGAGTCTCAACTTTCTGATATGGAAGGTAAACTTGGTGTTATTAAGGAAGCAAAAGTTGATAATGGGAAGACTATTGCTGAACTTGAAGAAGAAACAAAAACTGAAGTTGAGAACGAAAACAATGAGATTCATGAATTGCAGGAAATAGTTATCGTGGAAGAATCAAAAGAGACCGAGTTGAAAGTGGAGATGCCATCAAAGGCCCCAGGGCTGCTGCATCGCCCTAAGCTGCTGATGTCTGCCGGTGCCGTAATAACTGCTATACTTTACACAGCATTGAAGATGAAGCGAAGGTAAAGGAGGAAAATATGACAAAACTGCTCAGTAGTCCTCTTGTATTGTGTAGCCATAGGCCATGTTGGCTTTTGCTGTTTGTTATCCTCGAAGCTTTTGAGAGTACAGAAGTAGATAAAAAGAGAATTTGCAGAGATTTGGTCATAGTTTGGATCATGTTTTAGTATCTGTTGTGTTTGGAATTGGTAATCTCACTGTGTCTTTACCACAAAAATAGTGAGAAAGTGTAATAGATTCAATGTGAAGATTTGAAACAAATAAAAACCATGTCTTTCTTTTTTTGGGGAGTTTTTGTGTCTTTCGATAATATTTTGCTACTTGTTTTTCTTTTTTCTTTGATTAGTGGGGATGGGAAATTCAGACTTGAGATGTCTTCCGACTAATTACTAGTTGGTACGTTTGCTACTTCTTCTAAGCAAACAAATTGTATCTATAAATGTATGGTCATTGTGTGCTGGTTCTGTTTATATGCCTAAAAATGTTTGGTAGCCCTTCTATCTGCCATTCTCCTTGTATGTTTAGGAGCTTTCCAATTCGAACGAGGGTTTTGACATACCAACTTAGCTCTACTCATGTTCAGAAAAGATAAAGACACAACTGAAGTATTAGGCCAGCTTAACCCACAGTAGATATGAGCCCAATGGACCAAATTCTTGGGGCCTAAACCCTTGGGCCTATTGACTGTGAACCCAATATGAAGTAGTAGTCATGACGTTTGCCAAATGTGAGGTGAGGCTATAAATTAATGCCAGAAAAGATCAATGTAACTTATCCTATAGAGCCTGCAAAAAGAAACTAAAAAAAAAAAGGTTTGATGCTCAAGACAGTCATGTCCTCCTCCACTTCCTCTTCTTCAGTTGCTAGCATTGGTGCTACAAATGTCGTCTTTGAGATTGGAAAATACAAGGTGGTGCTCCAAAGAGCTGAACCAGTGACTACATGCAGCACCAAGTCCTCAAATATTCCAGTTCCACCTCCAAAGCCTCTTCTGATTGGCATGCCTTGTGAAGCTGGAGAATTCCCTATCTTGCTGCTCCTCCATGGTTACCTTCTCTCCAACTCTTTCTACTCTCAGCTTATCCAGCATATCGCTTCTCATGGCTTCATTGTCGTTGCCCCTCAGGCTAGGCTCTCTCTCTTTCACTTGGACGCACACTTTATAAATTGTGATTATACATATCTGACCAAGAATTTTTCATCTCTCTTTGATAATTAATTAAACAGTATGGTGATGGTGGTCTTATTATAGTTTTTATGTTCAAATAAATGATTTTCAATTTCGGTTTCTCTCTTGTTAGCATATATACTAACTTTCCATGGTTTCCAATTACCTTATTGGGTTTGGATATGAATTATTGTGACTTATCATTTGAAGAGAGAGTCCACACATTGATATTCATGATCAAGCATTATGTGAGTTCATGCTGCTTGTGTATTCCTTGAGGCTATCATCTGCAAGTTTCCTTTAAGTTATTTTCAGTGATTGCCATAGTCTGCAAGGTAAATGGTCACATCTAACAGAGGCTTGTGCTGTCTTGTTGGGCACCAACCAAGTTTTCAAGTAACAAAAGCAAAATAAGTGAGTCACTGAGCTTTCATTTTTTTGGGTGAAAACCAAGGTATCCCCGCGCGATTGCGGGGACTAACCCTCGAGGTACTGTCGGGCGCAAAGCGGGGACCTCTCCCAACAAAGTCTGCTCTATTCGCAAGCGCCTGGGATCGAACCCAGGACCTCTTGTTTAAAGGATCCAAGCCCCTTCCACTTGGACCAACTCTTGAGCTTTCATTTTCAGTGCTTGACAAAATGGCATGTTTTGATTGGCATTGTATGAAATGAAAATACCCAAATGGCTCAGTCCTTATCAGATATGCTTGGGGTCTAAATACTGACCCTTCTTGTTTTTTGCCAGTGAGTCTATTTCAAGTCTGAGATTCCTTGTCCTTGACAATATACAAGAAGCGGCTGAGTTGAGAGAACTTCTCTCATTCACATTATCATTCACATTGAGATGCTGTGCATATAACATGAAAGACTAAAATTTCCAGTTTGGCTTGTATTTTTGTGCTGATATTGTGCTTCTTAAAGTTAAACTACAGAGATTTGAGCAGACATTAATATTACTGTACCTTTATAAAAAGCTAGATGAATAAATAAAATTGCCTCTAACTCTGCCTTATTGATAAGCAAATGTTCTTTGTGTTCAACAGTTATATACAATAGCTGGACCAGATTCAAAAGGTGAGATCAAGTCTACAGCAGCAATAACAAATTGGTTATCTGAAGGACTTCAGTTCTTGCTTCCACCCCATGTTCAGGCAAATCTAAGCAAGCTAGCACTCGCGGGCCACAGCCGTGGAGGCAAAGTCTCTTTTGCACTAGCATTAGGGAAAGAAGGAAACACTAATCTAAAGTTTTCAGCCTTAATAGGCATTGACCCAGTTGATGGAATGGACAAAGGGAAACAAACCCCTCCACCAGTACTAACCTATGTTCCTCATTCATTTGATCTTGATATGGCAGTGATGGTGATTGGTTCTGGTTTGGGTGAGGTGAAAAGGAACCCTCTGTTCCCTCCTTGTGCTCCAAAAGGTGTTAACCATGAGGACTTCTTCAACGAATGCCGAAAACCAGCATGTTATTTTGTGGCAAAGGATTATGGTCATCTTGATATGCTGGATGATGAAACCAAGGGGATCAGAGGGAAATCTACATACTGTTTGTGCAAAAATGGGAAGTCAAGGGAGCCCATGAGGAAGTTTGTTGGAGGGGTTGTGGTTGCATTCCTTCAAGCTTATTTAGAAGGTGATAGTAGCCACTTAATGGCTATAAGAGATGGGGTTGATGAGACTCTGCCAGTAGAGCTTCAAATTGTTAAATTTAATTTGTGAAGTTTAGGAGTGTTAAAAAAGCAATAGAAAAAGTTTAAGCTGCAGTTTCCCAAAACAAAATTAATTTCTTTATATATGTTACTTGCTCAGTTTGCTCCATTACAAATCTCACACGGAAGCTTCAATTAAGTAATTACATTTAGCATTCTGAATTTGGAAGTAATGCAAGGACCATTGTAGAATCTTTGATTTTTTTAGTACAAGCGATAGTATAAACTACGAGGGATAAAGATTTCTCACACACACAACTATAATGCCTGTTGGCCATTGTAAAATCTTATGATGCGCCAAAAGTTATTTGCTCTGCAAATGAGTTTGTTGGATTTTCACAAAACTAATGGATTATTCTTTGTTAAGCCCAAAAACTAATAATTCCTTAGAAACATAGTGAAGGCCTGGCCCAATATCATTATATAAAGATGATGGGGCTTGAATTTTAAACACTAACGGATTTTACTTTAAGCCCAAAAACTCATTTTAAAATAAAAAATAAAAAACCCAACGCACTCCTCCTCCATTTCTCTCAGCTCGCCGCCTCTCTCACCTCCACTCAGCAGCCATTCTCCCTGCCCACCCCATCTTCTTTTTCGATTCTTTTAGAAATTATAGTTGAGAGAATACTGAGAGGGTTGCAGCCTGCAGGGATACAAAGGCCTTCGATTTCATAGCAGTTGTTGTTGGCATGCTGGCTCTGAAAATACTGAAATACAATTGTTTTCAGTGGCGGATCAGGATTCTCGGTCCAAGGGGTCACAGTGTAAAAGTGTCGAAATTTTTTTTATTAAAAAAAAACACTAAAAAGCATAAAGATAGTACATTAAATTCTCTAAAAATTAGGATATGAGTACTACGAAAATTAAAATAATATATTTTTAAATTTTTATAAATTATTATTGTAGTAATATATTAGTTAAATATAGCACTGGGTATATACTAAAAGGTTAAAAAGGTTTTATTAATAAACATTTGGGCCAGACTTTTCAAAAGACCTACAAGTTATTAATAAATATTTGGGCCAGACTTATACATGGCCCAGACCTTTTTAAAAAACCTACAACTAGTGAAACGGTGAGTTTCAACTAAATGCCTAAGCTAGGGCAAATCACCAACACCATCTTCACGACTTCATCTTCTTCGCTGCCTCTGCAACCTAAAAAAAATTCACGTTGTGGTGCTGCCAGAGCAGAGCATATGCGTCTGGAAGAAGTTTAGAGAGCAGCGCAAGGCAAGCCCACAGGGGACTTTCATCGAGCACCTTGCACACAAAGGGTCGCTCAGATAACGGCCAAGGGGTCACCGGTGGAGTCCATGGCTAGATTTCCGGCATCCCAAGGGGTCCTGTGACCCCTCTTGTCCCAACGTGCGTCCGCCACTGGTTGTTTTAGTGTTATAGAAGTTGAGTTTTTCTGGTCTCTAATGATTGTCTTCTCTGAATCGGTGAGTCCCGCTATTCTCCAAGTTTACTAAGAAAATTTCTTTACTTTTTGTTTAAATAACTTTGGCTTATGACTTCCTGTATCTGCTGGGGGTTGGTTATCTTTTGGTCCTGTTTGGTAGCTGAGAAATCGCGGGAAAACGAAAAATTAAGTGGGAATTTTGATGGACGTAGTTTTGAAAAGGTTGTTGTAAAATTCCATTTTTTTCGTCTCTAGTTTTTCTCAGCAACCAAAAGTCTGCAATGGTTCAGTCGCTCCCATTCTTGTTACTTCTTATTTTTCTGTTGGTCTTTCAATAGCTTTCTAATATCTTATTGCCGTTTGAAATGATATAAACTTTGTTTGAGCATTGCAACTTGGATAATTTGTGCTTACTCATATACACGTCGAGTGGTAATTTCTCTTGGAACTTTGGGGTACGTTTATAGTCTGTTCATTGTGGAGCTTTTGAATTTCTCTTGGTCCAAGTTAGAATGGGTTTTAAAAGTTTTTTTTCTTTAAGCGTAATTAAAGGCCCTTATTATTTTCTTTTGAGCAGTATCTACTGTTTGCTTGCTGTCAGTATATTTTTGCGAGTTGAATTTTAACATGGCAAATATTGTTTGCTTTGCTTGCAAGGTCCCTTTACCCCAGTAGAGCATCAAACCAGACAGATATGTATTGTTTGCTTACTCTCCTTAGGAACATGGATCCCCTTTTCTAATGTTGCTCTTTGAATGGAAAGTTCTCTCAGGTCTATTGTAATCCAACTTTTCCCCTTGAAAAAAGATGTTTTGGTTTCTTTACAGAATATAGAAAGAAATTCATTGGGTAGGATGTGAAATGTCAGACTTTAAAAGCACACAGTAATCTGCACGCAGACAGTACTTTGATATTGGGCTAAAATACTATAGTCATGCTATCAAACTAGGCATTCAAAAAAAGATGTTTTGGTTTCTTTACAGAATATAGAAAGAAATTCATTGGGTAGGATGTGAAATGTCAGACTTTAAAAGCACAGTAATCTGCACGCAGACAGTACTTTGATATTGGGCTAAAATACTATAGTCATGCTATCAAACTAGGCATTCATATTCTCTTTCATGGATGTAGTGCACTTATGAATCATAATTTTTTCGGAAGCACGCAAATGTGCTTAATCCATCTTCTCTATATGAATTTTTTTCTAATAACGTTATTGATTACTTAATTTTTATTTGTTCTATGTTATAGGTCTTCTGCTGCAATGGATTAAAACAGAAAACCGTCTGACTCGTTGTGGGTATCAAAACACTCTGTTATTAAACAGTTTTTTATCGCTCTGAAGCTCTGATTTTTAGTGGGATGAAGATGTATGTCTTAAACTTTTATTTTTGCTATTCATTCCTATTGCCTCTGATTTTTAGTGGGATGAAGATGTATGTCTTAAACTTTTATTTTTGCTATTCATTCCTATTGCTTTTACTTATTTCTGATGTGGTAATTTTATATAAATGTCTGTTTTCAGCCTTTCTAGACAATTCTTCTTTATTTATTTTTCTAATGTTGGGGATGTTATAAATTCCAATTTCTTTGCAGAGTAGAGGCTAATTCCGGTGTGCTTACCAATTTCGACGTGCTCAAATTTCTAGAATCTAGAGGGGCTTCTAAAGATTCGGCACGGGTTTTTTCTAATGTAACGCCATCAGAGAATAAGGTTGTAGTGGTGTTTATGTTTCCACCACCCACATTCTGTTTTTAATTCAACCTTGTTGTGAAGATTGATGTATTGTTTATTTTCCTTGTTTAGGTTTATGGTTATTTGTTTGGGACTCCTGCTCGTGGTCAAACAATGGAGAATATCAATGAGTTCAAGGAAAAGTGTAAGAAGTATGACCTTGCGGAAGCTGAGGTGCTCAATATCATCAACACTAGGCCATCTAGCATTGTTGGAATCTACCCGGTTTGTTATAACTACTTTTTATTGTTAATATGTTTCTGTTGTAGCTTATTGATTTTATTAATGACTGTGATGCTTGTGTCTTTATAGTTTCAGTTTCTTTTAAATTTATGATTGTGTACATTACCGTGTTTCCTGGTGATGTTTTGTGTATTGGGTTTATGGGATCATGCCGTTTATGCAACAAATTTGTTTGTGTTTGTACCCTGCATTGAGGGTGGATTTGGAACCGTATTAAATTGGGATAGGAAAAAAACACTATAGGTACTATATTTTGTGTAGAGAATAATGATGAGTGATGAGGAGCATAATGCTGTATTTTTAGTACTTGACTGTGGATTTACTGATTCGCATTACTCTCTAGTATTGTAGAACATTGGCGGAGTACCATGTCTATTCTTTCCCTTCTCTGTAGCCAAAATATTTCTTTGTTTTTCTGTAATTTGTGATATCAGAAAATGCTCAACTCCGCTTGATATTCCCCTAATTATCATTGTTAACAAGACATTGGCAATTAAGGTTGAACCTGTCAGAAGTCAGGATCATAAACAAAGTTACCTTATTCTGTAACTTAATAATTGACAAAGTTTATGGATTGCCTAAATTTCTAGTGTCTGTCTATAAGGAATCGTTTTTCTTCCCAAATGGTAGAATGGTCTTGTGTGTCTTTTTGTTTTATATGCTGAGAGAGTCTGATGGCAGCTCTCGCTGGATTAACATGTGGTTGGTGCATGCACAATATCTTTTGGTTTTTTTCATTTATCATCTTCGTTCATGTAAACATAATAATATAATAATCCTCAAGAATATGATTGCATTAAGCTTTTGCGTCTGGATGGAGGTATTTTATCTTGATCTTACTATGTGCAATGACCAAGGGTCACATCGTCTCTATACCAAGGCTCCTAATATGATTTTCCTACTTGTAAATGGAGAGAAAATATTGTAACGTTCCTGGTTTGTTCTAATTTCTATAACATGTCAACTCATTTGCAGATTTGCTCTGTTATTTAATTTTTTGTTTTTGATGTTTCACAGCTTATCGAGAATTGCGACTTGCGTTTAGGAGATACTGTTGAAGAGCTGGTAGAATTGGTAGTAGAAGTGTTTCCACCTCATCCTTCAGCAAAGACTGTTGAAAATGATGCAAAAACCACAAATGTGGAAAAAATTGAAGACCAGAATGATAACGATGAAGGGAAACCAGAAAATGAGGAAGAAATGGAGACAATCGATGGGTCTTAGGACTGGCCGTTAATCTTTTCTTAAAAGTCTTGTGTTCAAAAGCGTTCCAATACCAATACCAATGTTGGAAGACACATGAATTTTGGAACTTGTAGGTTTGAGATCAAGGTTATCATGTTCCATGTGATTCTTTCCTTTTGTTTTTACGTGTACAAGCGATATTGAAGGAGGGAGGTTTCGGTATTAAGCTCGTATTTTGTTCTGCATTCGGCTTCAACCTTATTCTTAATGCAATTGGTCTGTTCAAATGAGACCCACACCATTCTCGAACAAGAAAGCTTGAGGCTTTGCAAGCACAGGTGAAAAGTCAAAACCAATTTCAAGTGTGAACCATTTTCAACTCACACAACCCTAAACCATGAACCCGCCAAATGAAGACGACATGACGTACGACAATTGATTAAGCACTGGTCCATTAAAAATGAGACACATGGAAGGTAGCCAAGCTGTTTAATTCTTCATCCACTCAAATTTTTCTTAGCTTTCCCATTTCTATGACATGATAGTAATAACTGATGAGCATGAGGACAGGCACCATATATTATTATATGTGATTTGCAGATAATAATTTCCCGTTGAACTGAAAACTGATGTGGTATAGAAAAATTGTGTCGGGCTTATAATTGTACCCTCTTTTGAAAAAAGAAAAATAGAAGACTGAAAATGATAGATCCACATCCACAACGCACCTAAATAATTGTGCTCGGGACATGCACCCCAGAGGAATCATGTGTTGTGTTGTCGATCTCTTTTTGTTTGTCTTAAGTTGTGTTGTCATCTTAAAAAGTAAAACATTTGCAGACAAAATCTTAAAGGAATAAAAACCCCAATGATTCTTAAACTACGTTTTCATCATAAGCCGACTGGATATGAAAATTAAGAGATGAATCATGTAAAATTTTAGAATATTCATGTTCGTAAAAGAATTGTCATCATTGATTTTATTTTATTTTTTTGAAGGATGCTAATTGCATTGTTTTTGTGAATTTCAATCATCACCTGTATTATGTCACATGATATACATATTGGTAAAATAATTTAGTTAAAAAGAGTAATGGTGTGTAAATGAGCTTTTGTCGCTAAAGGGCATGGGAGAACAATTTTCATACATGAGAACAACTTTGATGATCATGTCGTCTGATTACGTGGAATGTTCGATTGCTCTCACAAGAGAGCAAGATCCTTATATTAGACGACAATTGATTAAGCACTGGTCCATTAAAAATGAGACACATGGAAGGTAGCCAAGCTGTTTAATTCTTCATCCACTCAAATTTTTCTTAGCTTTCCCATTTCTATGACATGATAGTAATAACTGATGAGCATGAGGACAGGCACCATATATTATTATATGTGATTTGCAGATAATAATTTCCCGTTGAACTGAAAACTGATGTGGTATAGAAAAATTGTGTCGGGCTTATAATTGTACCCTCTTTTGAAAAAAGAAAAATAGAAGACTGAAAATGATAGATCCACATCCACAACGCACCTAAATAATTGTGCTCGGGACATGCACCCCAGAGGAATCATGTGTTGTGTTGTCGATCTCTTTTTGTTTGTCTTAAGTTGTGTTGTCATCTTAAAAAGTAAAACATTTGCAGACAAAATCTTAAAGGAATAAAAACCCCAATGATTCTTAAACTACGTTTTCATCATAAGCCGACTGGATATGAAAATTAAGAGATGAATCATGTAAAATTTTAGAATATTCATGTTCGTAAAAGAATTGTCATCATTGATTTTATTTTATTTTATGAAGGATGCTAATTGCATTGTTTTTGTGAATTTCAATCATCGCGTGTATTATGTCACATGATATACATATTGGTCAAATAATTTAGTTAAAAAGAGTAATGGTGTGTAAATGAGCTTTTGTCGCTAAAGGGCATGGGAGAACAACTTTGATGATCATGTCGTCTGATTACGTGGAATGTTCGATTGCTCTCACAAGAGAGCAAGATCCTTATATTAGGAGTTGTACTTACGTGAAGCCAAATGGTACAAAAAAGCAAGAAGTTATACTCCCTGGTGAGGAGAAAGAATTTCATGTAATAGAGATAACACTTTTTGCTATCCCTAACTAATAACGCAATGACATGTGAGATAACTTTTTCACGTGTTATTGTGTTATTAGTTAGGGATAGCAAAACAGTATTATCCCCGTTACAAATAAGTTTTTCTACCTTGTGAGAGTGGTCGGACAGTCCACTTAGACGTCGTGACCCAAGATATTTATTTTTGGTGAAAATAACTTAAGATATTTTTTTTTTTGGAAAATGACCCAAGATATTCTCTTCCATACACATATAAGCTATAAACACTTGCTAATGTCACCTTTAGTTACTCATAAATAATAATAAAACTGTTATATATTACTACTGTAAGACAAATTGTCCTACACTCCTTCCCTATAAAGATATAAGGACTGCACCTTCCGCTTCAATTTCATAGAGTAAATGAGTACAAGATGAACTTACCTTTGGAATAATTATTGGTAACAAAAAAAATATGCTCCGACTGAATGTGCTCTCCCATAGAAGTTTGGTTAAAGACCTAAAGCAGAAAAGATATGTTAAATCAATACCAGCAACCAAAACAATTGTGTCAAATCAAATATCACTTCCACAAAGAAAAAAAACCTAATCCCTCACTCACTGTTCTCTTCTCTCTCCTCTCTTCTCTCTTCTCTCTCTTCTCTCTCTTCTCTGTCTGTGTAGTTCAGAAACTGAAACCAAAGAAAGTGAAGAAGGTGGTGGAATGGTCATGTGCGTGGGAATGGGCATTCTGACCTGACCACACCTCAGAAGCATAGACCACTTGAGCTTTTGATTTTTCAATGTATTTTGGAGCCACCGGCCCACCCTTTTCTTTTTCTTCGTCAAAATGTCTCACCTAATCCAGAAATATTAAACCCTATTGTTTCCTTCAAAATAATATTACAGATATATATATATATATATATATTTTTGAAATTGAAATGTCAGGGGTCCTCTCCTCTCCTCGTGAAGCGATGGTTTCAGCATAATGTACGGCTTTGCCCCATATAAATTTGTGCTGATTTTTGTGGCAAAGACTAACCAGACCACAAAACGACACCATTTTTCTTTGAGTTTGCATTGTTGGGTTGCACCAAAATCACCAAACCCAACATCATGTGGTCAAATCTCTCTTTTTCTTGCCATTTCTTGCCCCCCACAAACCTTAGACTCTGAATCTAGATCATTAATTTTCTGATATTAAATTTAAATTTAGAATTTGAAAATATAAATACTTGTTGGAGAAGAGAATTTTTTTCTAAGTAGAATAAGATCATATTTTAGTGTTAGTGTTAATCCGAGATTTGTGATTAAACATGAGTTCAAATGTCCACCAACCACTGCAACGTCAAACAAGTGCATGCATGCAGCCATGGGATAATCAGATAATACGACATATATCTGAGAGTTTCCATAAAAACAAAAAACAAAAACAAAAGTCAAACAAGCTAGCTGTGGCAAAATTTATCTTTTATTCTTTAGAAAGAATTTAAAGTTGGAAAATTAGGTTAGAGAGAGAGAGCCATTGGTGGATGGAATTAGGAAAATTATTGTTTCCCAGAGAAATTAGTCTTTGAATATTTGGCTCTTGTTAGATGCCAAATGGTAAATTGGCTGCTAGAGAGCATGCACACACACACACACACACATGTGAAGGAAGCAGTAGCAGCTGTGGATCTGCAGGCAGGCTCTGCCTCTGCCATTAACAAATTGGAGTTGACCCACAGTTGACCAAGACCAAGAGATGGATGGATGGAACCATCTATCTAACTTCCAAGGGAGTAATTAATGTGTTTATCCAAGACATGAGGATGAAGACAAGCTCATTTGGTAACAAAATTAATAAAGCAGCCAACAAGGTACGCAGGAAAAGCATAGACAGAAGTTAATGCTGTCGTATCCATATCCCCCTCGATAGTGAAAGAGATCATACGTATAGTCTTTCACTTTTTATTTTGTAGACAGAATTCAAAAGGTCATTTGGCTGTGTATTGTGTATGCTACTAGCATCCCAAATCCGGGATAAGTTCGGTCGCTTATGTACGAGTGAGCTAAGTTCAGTCGCTTATGCATGCGTGAATGAGGGTAATTTCTAATCTTTCATCTTAGTGTAGGATAGTTCCGTTAATTAAATTGGTGGCGTACACGTCAGTATCTTACTTACTATAAAAAATACATGTAATTATACTCGTAATATATATATAATAAGAATGGAAACCCATGTTTGATTCACATGAGCATAAATCATTGTTGTGAATTGAAAAATAATAGTTGCAATATATTTGGTGCTGTACATGAAACCCCATAATGATGATAGATAGATGCATGCTATGCTATGCTATGCTATGCTATGCTATATATGCTACCAACAAATCAATAATTCATCACTAGTATCAGACAATCCCGGCACTATTCAGAATTCAGAGAGAGAGAATGCAATCTCATTCATTACACATCAGCCCATAGTAAGAAACATTAAGGATCAAAGCCCATGTACTTAAATAGCACATAATAGTAGTTAATCTACAGAGTCTACAGACACAAAAACAAAACCAAACACTCAAAAAAAACCCAGCTGTATTTCCTCCATGAACTGAAGCATCGCTTTCTCCCTTACATACAAGCTTAGAGGCTAGAGAGAGAAGAAAAAGAAGAAGAAGCTTGGTCTTTAATTTCATGCCCTCCACTTCCAATCTGTCCCATAATAATTAAACTCTTTGCATTAATGCAAAGTTCAATTCAAAAACAAAAAAATATATACAATCTACCATGCATCATCAAAAACAAGAGAGAGAGAGCGAGAGAGAGAGAGAGAGAGAGAGTTACATTTCCAACACCTTCTCACTTGTCCCCCCATGCCATGATGAACAAGAATATAATGATAACAAATAGTGGGAAATAATTGACAATAATAATAATTTAATTAGTGACAGATTTTTGGATTGAGAAGCTAAAGATCAGATCAGGTGCACTGTTTAAATATTTGACTGTACTACTTACTTAAGTGTAATTAATAAATCAAGTAGTTTTAGTTTCTAATTATAATTAAATTTTTAAGGCATGAAGAGTTTGTTGCCACACTTGCAGCGCCAAGCTTCAGGATAGTACTCGAGAGGTATAGAGACACCTGGTTGAATGGGCACGTGGACCGCCTTACAAGGCGAGCACCTTCCACACTTGGATCTGCAACTCGGTGGCGATGAACCCAGCCGGCTCTTCTGAGTCTCGACTCGCTCCAATGCCGACGACCCAATTTGATATTCCTCTCTCTGCTGCTGCTGCTGATGAGAATGATGCCCACCACCTGAAAATTCATTGAAGTTTGAACCCAACAACTGAGTCACCGCTCAACGAGTCAAGGAAACTCAAAAAGGGGGGTTGCTGCTGAGTTGCTTACCGAGTCGGGTTTGACTGGTTATGGCTGAGGAGGCTGAGGTGAACAAGAGGAAAGTGAAGGCTGTGATGAGAGTTGATAGCCTGATGTAATGGTGGTGGTGGCGGCGGTGGCGGTGGCGCAGTACGCCCATCGCCTGAGGTGGAGGTGCGCCGGTTAGCAACTGGGCTCAGCTTTGAAAGTTCGATATTGTGAGAGAGTGAGAGAGAGAGAGAGAGAGGAGGATATATATATATATATATATGAATATGAATGATAAGATGATGTAAAAGGAGAGTGAGGAGGAAGATTGGGAAATGAGGGAGGGGGGAGATGCTTTTATTATTGTTATTGCAGTTTTTACTTGTGAGCGTGTGGGGAGGGTGGTCTAAGTCAAAAACACAGTCCCCAAAAGATCAAACCAGAGAGAGAGAGAGAGAGAGAGAGAGAGATTTCTTAGCTTTGTTGTATTGTTTGGCTAAAGAGTAGTGCTGGGACCCTGTAAGGCCCTGAATGATTGTGATGTGGAGTTGAAACAGAGACCAACTTTGAAGCCATATTCACTACAATGCCACTGAGATGGTGAAATGGTTGGGAACATATTTCAGACCAACAATGAATGAGATCTAGGTATGATAAATTTTTGTACGTGACAGTAACTTCACTTGACCTATTAACATGGTGATTTATATGTATCTACATTAACAAACAAATATGATGTTATGAATTTACAATTATCAAGTAGCATGCTACATGTTGTGTATACATGGCTAAGAAGCGAACTCCACTTGAATTATTACCCGAAAAATATCTACACACATTAACGACTCTGCGTAACAAAGTTTCAAATGCAAGTATGCAACACGAGGAGGGAAGAAAAATAAAGGAAGAGTGGCTTAAATGTAATAATTCGAAAAGAAGGGGAGTTTTGAGGTACAATGGGTGAGAGCACCCGTGTGGAGGAGGATGGGATGCTGTCTCGTACGAGACGAACACGGAACATCTGAGTCAAGGCTGAACCCACCCTCACCCTATGCACACCATTATTGCCTCTCTCTCTCTCTCTCTCTCTCGTCTAACATGGTAGGCCTATTGAATTCTGAGAGGGGCCCATTCATACAGGGGACAGGGCCCACATGGATACATTTTTTATGTTTTTTAACTTTTATAATATGCATTACCACTTTCTTCCCTTTTATTTATTTATTTTGTGGTTGGTGAAATAAGAGAATGAGAAATTAATAGAGGAAGGAGCAGTTGTATTAAATGAACCCCCACGATCTTTCTGTAAGTGCGGGCCTGCCTGCCCTAGCCTCTATCCTTAGCCAGGTAGCTCTCAGGCTCTCAGGCTCTCAGGGTCTGAGCAGCTGAGAGAGGAGGAGGAGGAGGAGGAAGAGTGTAACCGTGTAAAAGGTCGGTGAATCTGGCCCATTGATTTGATGGGTTTTGGGTTTGGTTGCATTTAAGGCACCAAAAAAGAAAAATAGCCACATTGGGGTAACAGGACTGAGAATGATTTGCTGCTAGAGGGAGGCCATGGTTTTAGTTGGACAAGGCAATCCACCAAGGTTTTGTGAAAACTGATCAATTTGCTGGTTGTTGAGAATTGAAAGGAAACAAAAATTATTAAAGAATTGGCAAGGGAGTTGTAATTCAACTAGTTAAAAGAGGTTCGATTCTCCCCTCCCTCCCTCCATCGCTTATATTTTTGCCAGAAATTAAGTTTTGCAGCTTAATGTGCGTGGACAGTGGAAAACTACTAGGCCTAGCCTCTGTTGGGCCCTTGGTGGTTCTTGGGTTGGTGAGGCCTAGTGTTCAAACAGTAACAAGACAAACATGAGGGTTTTCCCCATGGCAGGAAGCAACCATTACTAGCTTTTGCATGCTTGATTTACACATCATCTGTGACTGTACAAGTTGGAAAGGGACACTTCACTGCATTATGATATTTCAAAATCAAAAAAATCCACACACACACAAAAGAAAAAAACAAAAACAAAACGCCATTGATGATTGCTTGCACTTCTGTTTCTGCAACAACTGTTTGAATTGCTACCTTGTGGTTCATAGTTTTAGTTTGGAGCAGTAGAAGTTTTAACTATTTGTTGTACTCATCCTTAACCAAAAATTACAAGCTGAAAATTTGAGTCTGGATTCTGCATATAGCTTCAAGCCTTCAGAGTCAAATGATTGAGGCCAGGATCTTCTTCAGTTTGGTTCTGCAAGCAATAGATATTATGGCTTTAACAAAGCAAGTGCCATGGGCTGCACTTCAATGATTAGAGCAGGAGAAAGACTTCAACGAGTATAATACTATTTTGCTATATCTAACTAATAATGTTATGACATGCTTGATAACACTTCCACTTGTCAGACCAAAAAAAAAAAGATAACACTTCCACTTGTTATATTATTATTGGCCTGAAATATCAAAATAATGTTATCCCGTTGCAACTAAGTTTTTCTCCTAGAACTGAGCTTTGAAGACTCAATTAATTACGCCATGCTATAGTGTTGTCTAATTATTGATGGAATTACATTGTGTGTGTGAACCTAAAATTTTAATGTTTAAGAGACAAACCCTTTTCTTCTAGAATGACCTTCCAATTCTTTGCTAGTGACGAAATTCGATGACAATGGTAAATTAGATCTCTAAATTCAAAACCTAACATGTTCGGATTAGACAGGTTTCCTATGAAAATCCAGTCTTATCAAATGGTTGAACTCACAATACTTTAGTCGTGCAGCATATCAAATCATGAACACTCCCCCCAATAGAAGAACATGAGAAAAATAATAACTTCACCACTCACTATTTCTCTTAGAATAAAGACAAGTTCAAATAAAAGAGATTTGTAGCTTATGAAAAAGAGACATGAATTCAACAATTAAAAGAAAAAAATTGATTCCTCGATATCCTTTTTTGTTTTGAACGAAATGAACAAAGATAAACTCAATTTTTGATTGCTTACACACACAAATTTATGTGTAATTACTAGTAAAAATTTATTTATTTCGGGATAATAAAGAAACCCTCATAATGCAGACACATAAATTTTAAATAAACTCTAGCATATAAACCACCTCCCATGTAAATTCAAATATTTTCATATGGGTAAAGAATTCAAATGTAGAGCACAATGGGTTGAAAACACCTTTTTGGTCTATTTGCCATAAGGTCCTTGAATAAACATAATATTATTAAATAAAACACCAGAGACCTAGTAAACCCCGCCAAAATGTTCCCTTGATCCCTTCCACAGTGACAGTGTGGCATTAACCCAAAGCCCCAAACTCCCAAACCACTAATTAATCAGTAATTAAAAATAAAAACCCTAAGGTTTAGTCCAGAATCATTCAGACAAGAATTACGTGGCAGTCTAGGGTGAAACGCAGCTACCGAAAAGCCCCTTCCCCACCAAAACCCCCATACGACTTACGAGTGACTCTTTAGTCTTATGAGACGACGCCGCGCCTACTCTCTCTCTCTCTCTCTCTCACTTCTTTGCTTGCTGCCCTTTCCCCTCTTTCCCCCAATTCCACTTTCGCCCTCCCAACTCCCACGAAATTACCAACCCGCCCAGATCGCATTCGCAGGGCTCTCCGCCGCCGAAACTCCCGCCATGAACGCCACCACGACGTCGTTCCGCTCCATTCTCGAGAAGCCCCTCAACCAGCTCACAGAGGACGACATTTCTCAGCTCACTCGCGAAGACTGCCGCAAATACCTCAAAGAAAAAGGTCCCCTCCCTCCCCTCCTTACACCTCACCCTCTTTTTCTACTAATTTTCGCTTTTGCCCTTCGCCTCTCTCTCTCTTCCCTCCACCGCCATGTTCTCCGATACGTCTACAATCACGGAACATTCCACTCTCTCCAACTATATTTATTTATTGAAATTGATTAATTATTTAACGAGGATTTTTTTTCCTTTTTTTCGCAATTTAAAAATGTGATGGACACGTGTCCGTACAGGAATGCGGAGGCCTTCGTGGAACAAATCGCAGGCGATCCAGCAAGTTATTTCCCTCAAGGCTCTGCTGGAGCCCAACGACGATTCCGGCGCCGGAGCGCTCAGACGGATTGTCGTTTCGCCTCATACCACCACCCCGCGCGTCAGTGCTTTCTTATTATGTGTTTGGTTCCCGAGAAATTAAAAATGCAAAAGAAAGTTACTGTCTTTCTTTTCTTTCTCTTTGTTTCCCTCTTAACACTTGTTTGATTCCGAATTTTCTGTACAGGCGGCTTCGAATTCAGCCGGTTCGGCCAAGGAAGCGAGTGCCGATGTCCAGGTTTCCGTGTCAGCTGACGAACCGGTGCCGTATCAGAAACCGGTTCAGGAGGACCGGCCAGCCGATGCCGATACTAAGGCCATCAGTCCAAGGTTTAACTTCTCTATCAGGCTCTTTGGCTCTGGCAATGTGTGAATTTACTGATTGCTGTAGTTTGATTATGTTAAGCACAATGTGGTAGTTAAATATGCTAATTTAGCTTAGTTGAAGCTGTTATTGTTTTAGCCTCCTGGAAACTAGTAGACTTTGGTTTCATAATGTTCGCTTTGTCCTTCGAGATTCCATATTGAGCCTAATTTGAGCTCAGTAGATTGAGTGGGGGAATTGGTATGTGGAGGAGATTTTGAAGTGGATTCTTGTTTTCATGCCTAGCCCAAATAGGTGTTAAAGAAGCCCCACATCTTAAAAGTTGGCACCAAGTTTACCATATTTTTTCCATGGTTTTTGGCTTTTTTCCTGTGTATGCTTTCCATCTACAATATGCTTGACATGATTACAATTTTTATTTTTTTGGGGGCGGTTCATATTGTCTTTGTTCTTAAGGCAGTATGAAGCCAAAGTAGATTAATTTGTTTTGCAGAGCATACTATGATATATTTCTTGTTCATAAAACTTTTTGCGTTTTACCTTTTCAAATGAAGCAAATAAATTTGCTATTTTCTGTGGAAAGATTGGCACGGTATGGTTCTAATTTAGATTTCTTGTGATATGTTTATATTAAGTTCTAAAGAAAAGTATTTGATATTGTGGCCACAGAAATCAGTGTACAACTGATGCATCAGTTAGGCAAATGACAATTTTCTACTGCGGCAAGGTGAATGTATATGATGGAGTGCCACCTGATAAGGTAAATGAAGCTTCCTCTTAGCATGGATACCTGGAGATAAGCCTTCCAATGCAGCGCTATATGGATTTGCAGGCACGGGCAATCATGCACCTTGCGGCAAGGCCCAACCATTTGCCTCTGGACAATCAATTTGGTGGTACTGCAGCACTAAGATCCTTACGATGCCAATTTCAGACTGCCGGAGACAAAGATGGCTTTCTCCCTCCGAGTGCCACATTCTCTCAGCCCATGCAAACAGGTATTCGCGCAGAAGGATTTCTTAGGTTACCTTGTGAAATACTTTGGGTGGAATGGAGTAGCTGTGTACTTGACACTTAATTGGAACTGCATGTGGTGAATGGAAAATAAGATCCAAGAAATGGTTATAGGCATTGCCATGTTTCTTTCATGAAACAGTATAATTTTTTCATGGAACAGTATGATTTTAGTAACTTTGTTGTTAAAAATTGTTTCTTGGTTGTTTTAAAAAGAAGGAAAATGACGTCATGCTTATGGGAAGATGATTTTCATAATATAGGCTTACTTAAACAAACAAGAATTCTCTATTCAACTTCCTCTATTTTCCTTTTCCGTAGTACTAAACATGGCGGCCTCAATCTTTATTGAGTCTTATTTCTATTAATTACAAGTCAATTTGGCTAGAGTCACAGAGAAAGGATTTTTGCTGTTATAGTTTGTGATAGCTTAGAGACCTTGACAATTGGCAATGTTGAAATACCTATGCTAGAAAATTGTAGCTTTTGAAATACTGGTGGCTATGTAATTATAGTTTTCATTGAACTTTACAGAGAAGATCGGTGAATATACTCAGCAGTACTGGGAGAAAGGGAACAGCACTCGAGATCCTGGTAAGTTGTTTAGTATTCTTGCACCTCTACAGAAGTTGCTGTTATCAGGATGAAAAGTGTGCAGTTCTTGGTTTAAATAGAAAGATGCTTATTGTTGTAACTTTTGTGCTTTCCAAGGACATACATCTTAGGATCCTATATTAAAAGAGATGCAAATCTTGATAGGTGCTAGCCATTCATTGATTTCACACAGTAGGTAGAAGGTACATGGTTGTGTGCCATATTTTCTTACATGAAAAGACATCTTCTTAAGAAACTGCTCATTAGATTTTTTTTTTTTTTTCTTTTTTCTTTTCACCCTGCTCTGTAGACGTTGCCCTTAGGAGTATTTTGGAAGAACCTTTTATCATTTCAAAATCTGTAAGGCAAGGTATAGCTATGAATTCACAGTTGGTGATGCACCTTGCAGTACTTTGAAGAAGTGTGGTAACTTTAAGATGTATTATTCTTTTAGAAGTATTTTAATGGAAGGTTAATGCATCTACATTGGTGTCACAAAATTCACAACACAACCAAACTTTGCTGTCACTTGAGGCCAAAAATAGGAACCGCCATTTCAACTTTGTCACATCAACGTCAACCTCTGGAACTAGCTATGCCATTGTAACATCTGAAACTCCATTACAGAGTTATTTCTTTGAACCCTGTAGTCCTCCGCCCCTTGCTGCTTTAAAAGACACATCTCTAAATATCTTCACCACTGATACTTGCTCTTAGTACTTTTTCACTGTCACTTTCATTTCCCATTGCTTGTGTTGCAATCACTGCCTTTTCATCTACGCTGTTCAAACCATCTCCATACATTTATCCCCATTTTTAGTGAAATGGTTCCATTAAAGTTCAGTTGAAACATATTATATACAACTTTGAACCTAAAGAAGTTGATCTGTAGATACTTCTGGAAAGCCTATCGAAGTGGAGCTTTAACATGGCCCCTTTGCATGCCATGGGATTCTGATGAAAAGGTCTTAGAGGATTAACCAGTTAAAGAAGCTTCACTCTTTGATGAAATATGACATATAGTAGTTTATTTTCCTTGAAACATTTGGTGGTAATTCTTAAGATGCAGAGGGCCAGGCAAGCAGAAAAGTCTCGTTGGAGAGATATCGTGAAAAGCGAAAAGACAGGTACCTACTGATAGAAACTGTTGTTTACTGCCTCTAAAATCATCTGCAACATAATTAAATTGATTCTAAGCTTCTGATTTCATCCCATTCATTTCCTCCTTTTCTTTGCTCATGTTCCTACAAGGGGAAGATTAAAGACTAAGAAAAATATTGGATCGAGTTCGAGCTTGGAGGTCTTTTTGAATCATCAACTTAGGACACATACCTCAAATGGTAATTCAAGTCAGAGTGGCACAAGCTCTCCACCCCAGCCTGGGCTGCTGCAAACAGCTGACAATCAGCCAAAGAGTCTGTGCCTTCCCGTTGACCTAAATGACAAGGGTAAGCTATAAAATTCCTCCTTTGTATGTTTCATGACATATGATATTCATAATTTGTTTATGAATTTGACTTCTATCATTTGCCGACCAAATATAAAGTGACATATCAGGTCGGTTGGATGTCCTAATTATGTTGAGTGATCGTATTTGAAGGAATCAAGTCAGAAACAGATCATCTTATGTGCAAATATTTTGGATGATAAAATATTTACAGGTGGTTTGTTTGGTTTTTTTCTTTTTCCCGGGTTGGCTGTTATGCAGATATCCTGGAACGCCGAACTTGACACTTTCTAGGTCATTCAGAGTTGGGAGTTGATTGAAGAATCCCTCAGCTATAAATTAGAACCATGACAAACCTGATAGGAAGGGAAAGAAGAAACTAATTTTAACTGCCTCCTAGAGACCTGCCTTTTGGTATGATTTGGGCTGCTCCGAGGACCATGAAGTTTTTTCACTGGCTTTTGCCTATCAGGAGGAGAATTCTCTTTTTGGACTGGTATGGCTTTGATCAGTTTTGTAAGTTTTAGGGTCGAGATGCAGAGCTGTAAACAGCCATTTTCCTTTTAACTCCTTATGTAAGTAATTATTGTATGCGGTACCATTCTCTGTCAAGAGAGCTTATTGTACAAGTTGAAGGAAATCATCTCCTTTAACGTTTTGTAGCTATGGAGAACAGTTCTATGTAATTTATGGTCTCCTTTGTTTATAATTTTCCAAATGAAAGTTGGCAAAAATGTGTTGCAACTTGCAGAGAACTCGCGGCTCGGTTGATGAATCGGAATTGGAAAAATGTATTATTTTCTGTATTACTCTACAATGGTTAGGTTTACACTTTATAGCCACTTTGGGCACAGCTTGAAGCTAGTTTCCTATGTATAGATTGTATGATATTGTTGGCCGTGTTGTTTCTTTCTCAGACTGTACATGTATTTTGGACTCCAAAATGGAAAGAAGATTCGAGAAGATCCCGCAAAATTGGAAAATCATAGTTGAACGAAATCATGTGCACTAGGATTGGTGCTGCACGCTATTTGAATCTGGACCATTGGTTTTGTGAGTATTAGATTAGATATCAGATCAATTGTGTAATTGATATACACCAAAATAAAATGGTGACAAAAATTTGCCAAGAATAGCGTCCACAAATAACTTGAAGGAAATCTAACTGTACACGTGGCAAAATCATTCATGTTAAACAATAGCATCGAAAACGAAGTTTAAAAAAAAAATCCAGTGCAAAACGACACTCTTTTAGCTTCCATTATAAACAGTGACTGTGTTTAGTTTACTCAGCAAAACGCCGAGCTGGAAAGCGAGTCAGCCATGGCGATCGAGGTGAGTTCTTAGTATATTAGCGATAAATTAATTGTTATGGTGAACAAATGGGTTGGTGTTAATTTTAATTTTAATTAATGAAATGGAAACAGGCATGGTTCATGGACGAGAGCGATGAAGACCCAAGGCTTCCTCACCATCGCAACCCCAAAGAGCTTGTTCCCTTGGACCATTTGGCAGGTCTATTCTATATCTTTTTCTTACATCAAGATTAATTAGCTCTCGTTAATTTGTCCCTAATACGAATTAGTGTAATTGATTTTGTATTTAACAAGTTGGTGGGTGCTTTTATTGCAGAGCTTGGTGTGCTCTACTGGCGCTTGAACCCAAAGGACTATGAGAATGATCAACAACTTCGCAACATTAGAGAAACCAGGGGATATAATTACATGGTATGTATTTATATTTTTCTATTTTGAAATATTGGTTCAAATTCAATTTTTTTTTTCTTTTTTGGAGAGGGGAGATAGTATACTAAACTCACATGCACTACACTACACGGATGCTAGGATAGGACTCAAATTGAGGACCTTTTCTAAGGGAGCAATTGCTCCAAACCACTACACTAGTCGTCCTTTGCAACACAAAAGGAAGTTATTTGGTAATGTTTTTGCTAATTTTTTTTATAGCTTGGTGGCATTGTATATGTAGACATGGTTTTGAAAAGAAAAAAAAAGGGTGTTGATTTTATGCATCTGATATTTTTGTTATCGACAAAGAAAAATGCTTGTTATTGGGTGGGAATTTTGTAGGATTTGCTTAATATATGCCCAGAGAAATTGGAGAATTATGAGGAGAAGTTGAAGAACTTTTATACAGAGCACATACATGCTGATGAGGAGATACGCTACTGTTTAGAAGGAAGTGGGTACTTTGATGTTAGAGACAAGAATGACCGTTGGATTCGAATCTGGATTAAGGCTGGTGACCTTATCATTTTGCCTGCTGGGATTTACCACAGGTTCACCCTTGATACTAGCAACTATGTTAAGGTGAGAATCTAAGTAATGTGCATCAGCAGGCTTCTGCATACATCAAAAGTTTTTTTCTTTTTTGCCTCTCCAAGTTTTAATCATCAAACCAAATGATGTCGCAAACCACATTATTTTAGTTGTTAGAAAAGAAAAACAAAGAAATTTAAAACACTGCTTCATAAATATTGTACAGTTTTGGAGTTTACTTTGTTGTTCATTGCAATATAGTTTATTTGGGCAGAAGAACCTCTACTGATTTTTTTTGTACTGCTATTGGGTTCAAGGGGTTTAGTATTTGAGTGTATATGTTGAACGACAATTTGATGAAAACTTAAAACAAACTTAAGCACCATATCAATACTGGAAAGATCAGCAGAGGATCTTCAACTCATTCATTTTATTTGCACGTATTCTGTGATTGGCATTTCTGACAAAAACCTTGATTGAAGAAGACAAGAAAAAAATATTTGGTGAATGTTTGATAATTTGTTATGAAGTTCATATTCATGGGTATTATGCAGTTGATGAGGTTGTTTATGGGAGAGTTTAGTATTTGAGTGTATATGTTGAACGACAATTTGATGAAAACTTAAAACAAACTTAAGCACCATATCAATACTGGAAAGATCAGCAGAGGATCTTCACTCATTCATTTTATTTGCGCGTATTCTGTGATTGGCATTTCTGACAAAAACCTTGATTGAAGAAGACAAGAAAAAAATATTTGGTGAATGTTTGATAATTTGTTATGAAGTTCATATTCATGGGTATTATGCAGTTGATGAGGTTGTTTATGGGAGAGCCTGTTTGGATTTCGTACAACCGGCCGCAGGAAGATCATCCGGCTAGGAAGGAGTATATAGAGAGCTTCACTAAGAAAGTGGGAGTGGCATTGGAAGCTCATTGAAGGGTCATGACTCTCCTGGATTCTTGCAGATGAACCATCATGGTATTGTTGTATTGAATCTTCTTTGTAATGATATTATAAGGTGTATGATTATAGTTCGAACCCTTTTATTGTTCTATATATGTGCTTGAGAATTGAGGTTGTGATAATGAACTCTCTTTATTGAGAATCTTATGTCCAAAGGATGGTGCTCTTTGTCAAATATATTTTTGGATGCCTATGAGCCTCTCAGCCAACAGTTTTGGTCTTGACTTTTTCTTTTTGCTTCTTTAATGTACACAAAAAGAAAAAGGAATGATTTTGTGGGAGTTGCAATTTGAGATACGCAATCCGAAAGATATATTTCTATTTGTATTCCTATTTGAATAATTGTGGACTTCAATATTTTGCCATGTGACATGAAATTTTTTGTGATGAATGATCGATCCCGACTTTGACTCCCGAGTTTCGACCAAGAAACTCAAGGGGCCTGCCAACCCTAGTCAAATCACTCAAACCACCCATCAAGGAGTGGAGATGATTAGTCAAACAATTAACAAAAACAACAAAAATTCCTTTCACATGATGGCATGGCATTGGCAATGGCGAGAGTTATAAAACAATTAGGACAAATATAATTTTTTCCTTTCTGTTATAGAAATTTTGTGAGGATAAGAATATAATTTTTTTTGGCTAAAAAAAAGAAAGAATATAATTTCCTTTCTATTATTAAAATTTTTACGAATATGAATATAAGTTGGAGAAAAAATCCCGCAGTGAAATGCCGACGTGAAATGAAAACCCATTGATTCAATTAACCTGGACAAAGCACAAAATTGCTGTGTGCGTAAACGTCGGATGGGCATTTTCGTCATTCAACATCCTTTGCACTTCGTTTAAAAGGGCTGAGGCACGCGTGGTCTCAAAGCCACTCCAGAAATTTCAGGGATCGTCAGCCAAAACGCAGAACAAAATCAGAGCAATGGTTGCCACCGAAAAGGTACACACTCGGAATCTTATAGCTCCAGCCCAGCTCAATCATTTCTTTCGTTTTCTTTTTTCTCGGGAAAAAAAGAGTCGCCTTTTTTCCTGAGATAATTTTCTTATTGCAAACGGAGCAGAAATTTTATGTGTTTCTTCTGAATACTATTCTGTTTGTCTCCCTAACTTATTTTCTCAGACTTTATGATTTGTGTATTGTGTTTCAATCAAGTGTTTGAAATTTTCAAGCTTGATGCATCATCAGAACGTGCTTTGCTTGTTAATTGTTATGTATGAATTTTATGGTTTGATTGCCCAATTTTGGTGGTTAAGGTGATTCCAGTAGTAGCTTGCATTTAATTTTGTGTTGCTGCTAATTAGTTTTACATGATAAGTTGTGCGAATTAAATATTGCTTCAAGATAATTTTGCTGAACTAAAGTAATGATGATACGGCAGCTAGATACTGGAATTTGGCTATGGCTGTGCTTGCAGCGATGGATTTTTGGGATTTTCGTTGTTAGATTTTTGGAAACTCTGTTTGGTACATTGTTGTTTTGTTTGTTGTGGGAATAAAAAATTACAGGGAAATTATAAACAGCATTTTTGTGATCAGGGTATCTCATATTGTTAACATATGCAGGATCCAAGAGAGGAAGTCATCCAAGCATGGTACATGGATGACAGTGATGAAGACCAGAGGCTCCCCCATCACCGTGAGCCCAAGGAATTTGTATCCATAGACCAACTTACTGGTGAGCATTATCAGGAAGACAAAATAGTTTTAAGAGATTATGAATGTTTTATTTTTTGAAGAATCAATGCATTAGAGAAACCGTGGGAGTGACATCTGTTAGTGATAAGTTAAGATAAACTGGGCTTAAGCTGATATGAATAAATACTAAGTAGACCAGTAGATGTATTTTTAACCAATAATACTAGTCAATGTAAAAGTTAAAATACAAGAAGCTGGCCAAGACTAATCTAGGAAGAAGTAACTAGAAATATTTTTAAAACTTACGTTTAATAGGAGATATTGTATATAATGGAAAACAATGGAACATCTCTATTCATCTAGTTGATCTTCTTAGTTGGGACAAAGATAAGGATGATGATAGTCGTTCTACCATTTAACTTTTCGGGAGCATTTGAGTTGACCTTGCAGAGCTTGGAGTTCTCAGCTGGCGTTTAGATGCTGATAACTATGAAACAGATGAGGGGTTGAAGAAAATTCGTGAAGAACGTGGTTACTCCTACATGGTTTGTCACACTAACTTATTTTTAACTTTTTATTTGCTTTGTGTCGTCTTCTACCTAAACTTTCTACTTCACTTATTTCAAGGCAATGTATCACAACCATGCCAAGTTTTGCCCATTGATTGCCAATATGATGTGAAAGAAATTGTTCCGTATTAACTATTAATTTTTTTGACTCCTGTTGAACGTACACTTTGAAATGTGTTTGGTCTTTTTTTCCCCTTCTTGTTTATAGTTTGAATACTAATAATCAGATTATAGTAACTGTGAATATGCAAATTCACAACAAGTTTCTGTGCACAGTTATACACTTTATGTTTAACTTGATAATGTTTTCCTCTCCTAGGACTTCTGTGAGGTTTCCCCTGAAAAGCTGCCTAATTATGAAGAGAAGATAAAAAGTTTCTTTGAGGAACATCTTCACACTGATGAGGAGATCCGCTATACTGTGGCAGGAAGTGGTAGGATTAGTTATGCTTTATCCCAATTTATTGTCTCATTTTTATTTACCTCTCCAGATAGTGATTGTGTACTTCTTTTGTGAAGGCTATTTTGATGTTAGGGACCGTAATGAACGTTGGATTCGTGTGTGGTTGAAAAAGGGTGGGTTGATTGTTTTGCCTGCTGGAATTTATCACCGCTTTACTTTGGACACAGACAACTACATAAAGGTAATGGTTCAATGTGCGAAATGTTGTCATGCCCACTGTTTGTTTCCCCCCTTCTCCATTTAGTTATGCTTTTATACTCGAATGAATACACACTTCTACATAATCTGGCACTTACTTTTTTAAAAGTATTTTATTGTGGGATGATGGCGAATGTGTAGACCAGGACCGTACTACATTTGTGTCCGTGAATTAATGTCGATTAAGAAGTCCCACAATGGTCCTTACAGTGTTTAATATCTTCAAATCAAAAGACGTTCTAAAAGATCTGTGTTCAATGCAGGCAATGCGACTCTTTGTCGGTGATCCAGTTTGGACTCCCTTTAACCGCCCTCATGACCATCTTCCTGCAAGGTTTGATTCTCTCTTTCTTTAAATTGCCGGCATCCCTTCTTGTATACATGCAGACAATACTATGTTGGATAGGCTTTGAGTCTCTTCTTACAAGGAGCCCTTCCTTGCAGGCAGGAGTATGTTAAATCTTTTGTGCATAAGGAAACTGGTGACCATGCAGTTGATGCTGCAGCATGAAATCTGGCATTTGGTTCTAAAACTGGGATTTACAAATAATGAAGTGACTGTTTTGGCTATGATAAAGATATATGTATGCTTGTATCATCTGGGATGCACCGGTGGCTCCATAGTGTTATGTAATGCTTTGTTTATCAGTAGCTTGGCCTTGCGTGACTCGAATAAATTCCGAATAATCTATACCTAATGATCTTTATCTATTGATGCGTAGCTTTGTAAAAACGAATAATTACGTAATTCTACTGTGTTATATTGTGAGTTGTTGTGCTTCCAGCCTTGCCTATTGCCCAGGCAGAAACTACTTAGTCTGGGCCGACTTTAAAGTTTAGTTGGTTTAGATTGGCTGATTGGGCTGCTGCATGCTAACAGTCTAATCTTTCTTTTGTTTAAAGTTTAAACAATACAAAAACAAAAACAAACAGACCGGAGGACAATAAAGTTTTAGTAAAACAGATTAGGTTTTTAATAATCGACGTTAATCCAAACGCTTCATTCAAGTTGTCAATTATGAGTCAAGTTAGTGATATTTCTTTTTCTAATATTCAAAGAATTCAAATTCTCATTTGTGTCCATAAAACAAAAAGACAAGAAAGTTGTAATAGAATTGGTTAATACTTGGGACGAATTCAAATTGATACAAACCGATCATGACTCATAAGTGATTCTGGTCTATCCAAAATCACTTCTAAACGAAAGTGTTCATTTTTCATTTGCTTGGATTTAAGTGTTTGACAAAGAACCCTATCTCATTATGGTCATGGGATCCTGGTGCAATAATTTATATATAAAAAAATCTGATTCTTACTAAAGCTAGATTTGGATTGGACCCTAATTCATCACTCTTTTCACCTCTTATTTGATTTTGAAAATATATTTTGTCGGGTATATTCGCTGCACTTCCACATTCATCTAGTCCCCCCTTAAAATAATATTATATGCATTAGTTGGTGTTAAATCAGAATTTGGTCTCCTACACTGTTGATTGTGTTTTTAGGTGAATAATTTTCACCTTTAGCAAAAATTCCAAGCCGCACAGCCTTGATTTCACCTTATCTTCAACTCAATTAATGACACGGGTGTGGCATTTTTGCACTCTGTTAAGGGCCAATTACAGTAACTTGAAAAGTTTTAGATTCCAGCTAGCATCACAATGAACTTATTGTTCATGAATTTACCCAACTTCATGTGTGAGGTTAAATTTCACAGAGATAAATCAATGGTCCACTACTGATATTTTACCCAACTTACAAAGTCTAATACGTGTGATATTTTATTACAAAAAGTCTTGATGTAATTAGTAGTGGAACCACTCATTATATGTTGTAATTTATTTAGTTAAGTTTCACATGTTCGGTTTGTATAGAAATGTAAAACAAAGTTTGTTTTATTTTCTAATTATACTCATATGAAATTAAATATAAAAAAGAGAAAAGAATGCATTTAATGCTATATTGTAATTTTAAATTGTTAATGGGGACAATATGATCATGAAAAATGTGTATTTAATGCTTGCTCATTTTCCCAAATTTTCCCTTGAGGAGAAAAACAAAACCCATGAGAAGAGGAGAGCTTCACTTTCTCCCCTACTTTTTCTTGTGCAAGGCAACGATTTCCTGTACATGGATTTTTCAAACATGGAAAAACAATTGATTTCCTATCTCCAAGCCTCCTTTTTTATGAACCAAACAGGATCGTAGATCATTAGTGTGACAACAATATAATGCAAGTTGATCTGATTTATGCATTTAATAATAATTTAGCTTCTAAGATATTTTTGTTTATTTTCATAGAATGGAAAGTGCTAGCGTGAATCGACTTTGAGCACATAATTAAGTTTATTCGATGATGCAGGTGAGTCTCATTTCAATCATATGTATTAATGGTTATAAATCAACCACGCATGCTTAAGCAATTTTTAATCACCTCTAAGTAAGAATGGTCTCGATGTACACTGGGTACCACTTGCACCCATACCCACCCACCTCTCCAATAAAGAACCGTCTAAACACCCATTTTTTATTAAGATGGTGGCTCTACAAGCTTCTGGTTTTCAACGATCATAAAGTACAATACAATTATTATTAGATAAGTTTTTTAGTTTATTTAAATGTTTTTGTAGGTCCCTTTAGTGTCTCACTCTAAAACTCTCTTTGCCATTACAGTGATGAAAACCTAATGTGCCAAGTGGGTTTCCAAAAGGAGAAACGACATTAGGGCTTTGGAGAGAGAAAAATATCTCATCAATGCCATTTTCGTTTTGAAAAAAGCTTCACAATTTAACTTTTTCTTTAATATTTCTTTCAAACTCCCTCATATTAAGTGAAAATCCTGATTAATATGGAGCAATTTGAAATTTTGAACATTAATAAATGAGAATTTTTTTTATCAATCCCCAAATGAGAGGATTAGTAAAACATTTTGAAAAAAAGAAAATGTGCTTGTATTCTATGTGTCATCTTTGTTTCCCATCCAATCGAACAAATCTTGTCTGGCCAAAAAGGAAAAGAGAAGAAAAACCATTTTTTATTTTTGCTTTTGAAAGAAAAGGTGCTACCCGCGATTTATAAATTGTTGGTAGGTACCCCCAGTTGCCTTCTGTCTTAAAAAACACAAATAAAGGAAAAAGAAAACCCCTGCAGCCTCCTGTTCCTTAGCTCTGCAGTCTCTTGGCCTTCTTGGCCTCCATAGCAGCCAGAGCTTCTCTTTCTCACAAACACAACCAACCATCCCTGTCTATGCTCTGTTTTCTCTAACACTACCTTACCATTCCTCTGTGCTTCCTCTGTGCTTTTAATAATTCGTCTACCTGCATTCCTAAAACCCATTTGAGCAAACAAACCCAATAAGTATTATCATCATCAACCCATATCACTAATAACCCATCAGAGTTTACCATTAATCAAACGATGAATTCCGATCACGACCCAGTAAGTTTGTCATCTTCAGGTGCGGCACCTGATCATCCTCTGCCAATGGAGAAACTTTTTGACCAAGGCCCTCCACCATTTCTCACCAAAACTTATGACATCGTTGATGACCCAACAACCAATGATATAGTTTCTTGGAGCAGAGACAACAATAGCTTTGTTGTATTGGATCCCCAGAAATTTTCCATGAGCCTTCTCCCCAGATACTTCAAGCACAACAATTTCTCTAGCTTCGTCAGGCAGCTCAACACCTATGTAAGCACGACTTTCTAGGCCGTCCTAATTGCTTATTTATATGATTTTTGTTCAAAGAAATTGCCATGTTGTTCTTTTTCAATTTGGATATTGTATTCAAATCTATGATATATTTGTGGGGTTCTTTTGGGTGTGACTACTTTGTACATTCATGCTCATGAAACATATAGAAATGTGTCATTTTTTTAATCTTTCATGTCTTTGTTTAATCAGATCCTTTTTGTGTATTTGTTTAAGGGGTTACTTAATGTGGACATATTGTTTGTTAAACGGCATCAAAAGGGAAAATGCAGAAACCAATGTATAAAACATGCATGATACTATTATAGAGAGGGAGCTGCTTTTGCATCTGCTATTAACTTGATGGGGTCAGTTTTTGTTTTTGTTTTTCTTTCTGTTGGATTTGTCAACTTCAAAGGTTCTTAGGGTTGACCTGATGCAAACTAAAAAAATTAGTAGACGCAGCCTTTTTATGGATTTGATCAAGAAGAAGTTATTTAATTAATGTAGGGATTTAGAAAGGTTGATACAGATAGATGGGAGTTTGCTAATGAAGGGTTTCTCAGAGGGCAAAAACCTCTTTTGAAGAATATCCGGAGGAGGAAGACATCTTACCATCCTAAGGCTTCACATAAAGCTTTGGACTCTTGTGTTGAAGTTGGAAAGTTTGGATTGGACGGAGAGATTGACCAGCTGAGGCGTGATAAACAGGTTTTAATGGGGGAACTGGTGAAGCTTAGACAACAGCAGCAAACTACTAGAGTTTACCTCCACGGAATGGAAAATAGACTGAAGAGGACAGAGATGAAACAACAATATCTGATGAATTTCTTGGCAAGAGCAATGAAGAATCCCAACTTTGTACAACAATTGGCACAACAGAAGGACAAAAGGAATGAACTCGAGGAAGTAATTACTAAGAAGAGAAGGCGGACTATTGAGCAAGGGCCTAGTAATTTTGAGGTGGATGAATTAGGCCAAGTTGGAGTAGAAACTTTTGTTAAAGTTGAACCTCAAGAATACGATGACATATATGATCATTTTGAAAAGCCGGAGTTGGACACATTTGCTATTGACATGCTAGGTATAACTGGAAGCCAAATTGTTCATGATGAGGAAAAATGTATAGAGAAACAAGAGGGAAATGAAAGTGGAAGCAAAGACCCAGATAAGAGTTTCTGGCACGAATTGTTGAATGAGAGTATTGATGAAGAAATTGGTATGCTAGGTGTTCAAGAAGAAGATGAGGATGTCGATGTGTTCGTCGAGGAGCTTGTTCACTTGGCCTCCTGTCCCAAGTAAAGAGGATGAGGAGTTTTCATAAATGTTTTCTTCAAGAAGTTCGGTAGGAGACGCTCATCATTCAAAAAATCTTGAAGTTCCTAAATGGTTTCTTAATTCGAATTGAAGAGTGAATGGCAACACTTTAACACTTAGAAATTACACTGATGAAGCAAAACAGAAAACAATATTCCAATGCAAACTGGATAGGTTCAGGGATTTTCCTTCAGTGATGGTACTTTTAGGATCTCTTAAATTTCCGGGTTTGCTTTTAGAACTGTTATCATTTCCTTTATTGTCCACAGTCTAATTGTGTTCCTGCCAGTTGTAGGAAATTAAAGGTACGTATTTATCTGATAGATCATTAATCTCGACATTCATGACCTTAAAATCCAGTTGGAGATTGCACCTTTGAGATCATGTTCTGCTTAATTTGTAACTGACTGTTAACATCAGTGATCTAGAACCCTTTTGCTATGTTTTTTCTCTCCTGGAATATAATTTGTCATTGAATCATTCCATGAAGGTCGTGGATGATGCATGGTGGTGGTCTCACCAAAATGATTAAAAGCTTGAAATCTCTTACTTGCATCTTGAAATGGATCAAGAGAGGGTGCATGCCATGTTTGTGTAAGCTGTGTTAGTTTATTTGTGCAAATGCAAACATCAATAGGGCAGAAAATTGGTGTTTTACCCTTCTTTTTCTCTTTACGGGCCAAAAAGGTAAAATACAAAAATACAAAAATTAAAAAGTTGGAG